AAAATTATTTATCTTGTAAGGATAAGTCAACATGACATCAAATCGTCTCAGTGTACCAAGGGAAGGTTTTCAATTATTTTAAAAATATCACTGGGCAAGAACTGTGTACAGAGGAGCTGAATTCTATTTGGCATGCTGTATGGCTAAAATTACAAACTTCTGTTGAGCAGAGATATAAACTTAATAAGTGTGTGCTCACCCCCAGAGCAGCCCCCTTTTATGTGAAACAGTTAGGTGACAAGTTGGCAGAAGACTTTTGGAAAGTGTCAGAATATGACAGCAGCCCAGAACTGATTCAGCTTGATCTTCTTTCTTCCACATTTACAACCTCATGGAAAAGAAGAGGGTCATAAATAAACTTGGAATGAAGAACAAAGACAAAGTAATGTTAGTAAAGTTTTGGAGTTCTGCATCTTCCTGGTTATCTGGTGACCATCCTGTGAAGGTCTTGGCCAGCCAGGGTGCCTGTGCAGCCCTTTGCTGAGAAGGACAGACTAAAGAATCAGGGACTTTTGATCAGTAATCTGGGTGTTCTACCTTTTACCTGAAGCAACCTGTTGAGTCACACAGTAAGTGAATTCAGCCTGCACTGGTTTTTTTTAAAAAAAAGAGGATCCGACCAAAAAGTTTCTTTTTCCTTATATATTGCCTTTATAATTTATTCTGTCATCTCTTCCAAAGGATTCCAGGGCAATTTTCATCTAAAGAAGCCTAGTTTATAAATCATAAAAACAAAACATGGGGGGCCAGGGAGATAGCTCAGTGGAATAATTGCTTGCCTGGCAAGTACAAGGTCCTGAGTTTGATCCCTGGTACCACAAAAACAAAAACAAAAACAAACATGTATGGTTTAGAACCAGCATAGTGCCTGAAATAACTAATAAGTGACCAAATTCCACCTGAGGACAGGTCACACTCAACTAGGGCTCAAACTCAAGTACTGACAGAGATGGGCAGGCAGTTCTCCTTCTGTTACTGCATAATGTCTTCTGCAAAACTCAGTGCTTAATGCAACAGCCATTTCATAATGCGATTTTGTGGGGCAGAAATGTGGGCAGAGCCCAGCCCAGTGGCTCTTCTGGCCTGCGACACCCATGGCGTTTGCTGATGGTATTCAGCTGTCAGACTGGCTGATCCAAGGGCTCAGCACAACTACCCCCCAGGCTGTACTCAGCAGGGTGCCTGGAACTGGGCCAGCCTCTGCATGGGCCTCTGTAGCCAGCAGTGCCAGGAAAGCTGGATATCTCACGTGGTAATTCAAGACCTGGACAAAGAGTATTCCAGAAGAACTGAATGGAAGCTTCCAGGTGTCTCATGATCTGACCTTGAAGTCTCAGAACATCTCTTCTAGTGCATTTTTCAGGTACTGCAAACACTAAGGCCCAGATGCAATGGGTAGTGAATTAATCTGCAGCTCTCCATGATAGAAGGAAAGAGTTTGGAACTCTATTTTAAAATGATAATATATATTTTTTCTATATAGCCTTTATATACATATTCTTTGTTCTTTGTTCCTAAGGCAAAAGAGCACAGTATCTATTTGTGGAAGGATATACCAAAAACTGTTAAGTATTGTCCCTGAGGCATGAAACTGTGACTCTAGGCTGGGAGGTCTTACTTTCACTTTATTTCACTATAATCAAAAGTTTTTACCATGTGTATATAACTTGAGAATTTTGGGAGCATTAGTTTAATATGTAAATAAAATAGAGAATAATAAAGCTAGAATTTTCTTTTTTGTTTTAAAAAATTTTAAATTGTTATTTATACAGGTTTTCAGTACATGATTGCGTTCATTGCTGGCAGTGGGTACGCATAACATACCTCAATTCTTTATTTCCCCTTCCTCTCTTTTCTTAATTGTTTTAAAATAATTTGAAGCCCATTTTGGATATCTATAATACTAATATAATTTTATTTTATGAGAATCAAAACTTTAAATCCAGTAGAGCTTGTTTATGTTCAGATATTCCTCTGGACTACCAGAGTACTTTGCTGTCCCTTCTTTGCTTAAAAAGAATTGCCTAATAGGAAATGGGAGATGGCTATTTTCTGATATAATTTTCTTAATTTACAGGATTTTTTTAAAGCATTGATTACTAGTTCCTTTCTAATATATCTATATGGATTAGAACTATCTGCAATAGTATTTTAGATTCATAGCTACACAAGAGCTAATTGTGGCCCGCTTTTTGTGCACCAGCTCAGATTTGGAGATAGAATATATTTAATTATGTGTAATTTACGAAGAAAACCTGTTTCTAGAAATAACACAGATCAAAGTCAACACAATTTCAACACATGCTTTAATTCATCTTGGAGCCCTCTTTCTGAAAGAGAATGAGCTACAAGTTTTAATTAAAACAAAACAAAACACCAGCTCCTTAAGCTGTTGAGACCATTACCTTTTCCATTCTCAGCCTAATCCTCATTTTTCTGACTGAAGTGTGTTGAATATTTTTAGTAAGCTCATTTTTCAGAAGCATTTGGTTAAAGTACATATAGAATCTCTTTCTAATCTCACCCTGGAGAGAGAGACAGATTTGGTCCTAAAGAGACTGGAATTTTTCATGAAAGAATATTATACAATACAATTATTTCTGAATTCAAGAAAAATTTCCTGAGTTCTAAGGTTTTATTCTTTACTTTTGGTTTTGCCTTAGATCTGTGAACCTCAAATTAGATATAATTGTAATGACTTATTCAGACTCTCAATTTACAGATGAAATGGTTAAATTGTGGAATTCTGCTATGCTTATGGCTCTTAGACTTGGTACACATCACAGTCACTTTGATGGCTTGTTAAAACACACATTGCCAGTACAATCTTCCAAGTTTCTGACTCAGTGGGTTGAGGTGGGGTCTGGGAATCTGCCTTTCTGACAATGCTGGGTGACCCTGATGCTCTGGGCTTGGGGGTCTCAATCTGAGAACCACTATTTTGGTGTAGCTCCTTCTCTGGAGAGTTTCTTTTACTTAGGTAAAATTCTTTCAAATGTGCTGGGTTTTTTAATCTATTTTTTAACTCAATCAATACTTCACTGGACTCTGAATGTTTTTCTGTTTCTACTTTCTAAGAGAAAAACACAGAAACCCTGACATTTTCCCTAAGGTGGTCTCACTTTTCTTTAACTTTTTTGGATCACTAAGACTGACAGTTCTGCCAGCAATAGCCCCAGAGATGAACACCGAACACCCTTCACTGATCATTCCTGTCTCTCTGTTCTTATTCACGTGCTTGGCTCTGGTCATGGAGCTCATCCTCTTGTGGGTGTGGAGCATAGGCTCAGACGTGCCTTATGTTCATATCTGCTTCTCAGATGTATCACATAAGATATCTTTTGAGATTCTTGTGGTTTGTTGTGCTGAGCATGACTTGACTTGAAGACTTTGAATGACTACTGGATTAAACAGAACAATCTTCCTTAGTGACCCATTGGTCATCCTTTATGCCACAGGATCAATGGTCTTGGCATGAACACATTATAACAGTATATTCTGAAAATGAGCCCAAGGCTATAAATAAATAAAGCACATAATGGTTAAATTGCTCAGGTGTTGCCCCAAAGAAGAAAGCACAGTGTGAGTCAGCTCACTTCTTTCAGATGTGTGAAGCATCTGCTCTGTGACAAAGACCAAGCCGGCCTCAGCCATGAGAAGATACGCAGGGCCTGTCCACATAGGTGTGCTGTCAGCCTCACACCATGTTGGCAATATGGATTGGGAGCACAGGGCGCTGGGCTCAGGTACTGCCTGCATCACCTGCTGGCTTGGGCCAGTGGGTGTCCTCATTCACCCTGACACATGCTTCTGAGATCTGTCCCAAGACTAGAGTGGGATCCTGCCTTGCCATAGTTGGCTTGGTTCTCCATAGAAAGATACCTTAGACTGAGTAGTACAGACAATAGACTTATTTTTCTCACAGTCCTGGTGTCGGTAAAGTCCAAGACCAAGATCTAAACAGGGCTGGTTTCTAGTGCAGGCTTTCCTCCTGGCTGCCTTCTGGCTCTGTACTGGTGTGGCTTTTCTTAGTGCGTGCACGTGCTGGGGTAGATAGGAAGCAGTGCTGATCCCATCAGGAGGGCCCACCCTCATGACCTCATCTAGCCACTGTCCCCTCATGAGGGCTGCACCCCAAACACCACACCACTGGAGACTGAGGCTTCAGCCTAAGAAGGGACACAACCTGTCAGTCCATCAAGTGTCTGCTGTTTGCTTAACCAGTTCCCAGAGTCAGAAGACTGTTGCTCCCAGTGCCTCTCCTCCCGGAGATCCCTCCCTTTGGGCTTTTGTCATCTGCTGTCACCAGAAGTGGTACTGTTTTGGAGACCAGAAAAGCAATGAATGATTTTAATGGGCTCTTAAATGTGCCTCATCAGCTACGGCCCTTATCAGAAGCTTGTAGGATAAATTTAAGCACAGATTTAGGGTCTCGTTTTTCTGGATTCTAATTTTCCAAGTAGTTTCTTAAGTTCAGTATTGTTATTGTTTTACAATAACACAGTTGTAGTCCAGATAGAAAATCCTTAAAAATAGTTTTTCTAAGTGGATCTCAAAATGAATTTGAAAGTGGGAGAATCTCTTTAGGCACATCCTGCATTTGTGGTCAGTGCAGTGATCCTGCAGTTGTGTTCTGAAATTGGATGGTAGAAGAGCATTACATCCTTTACACACTGTACATGCATCTAAACTTTATGGAACAATTGCAGCAATGTCTTTTCTGTTAAATTGGGATCTTTGCTGTTTTCTCCTAAAAGTTAGTTTAAGAGAGTTGCTACAATGCCATGAACTGGTTGTTCAGATATCATTGTTTTTATGAGTAAAGAGAATTTAAAGTGGAGACATAAGAACAAGACAAAGAACAGAGGCCTAAACCACATGCTAGTGACTCTAAAATTGAAGATAGTTTTCTTTATTGAAAAAGACCTATATTTCTCCCAAAATGTTTGCCTCACACTGCCATGCATCACCGAGAATTCTATATCCTTTGATTTCCACAGAAAACAAAGCCCTTGATGACAGAATTCTTCATAAAGTCCACCATCATTTCTCGATATGCCTTTACCACTGTTTCCTGCAAAATGCTGAACAGAGCTTCCGAGGACCAGGATGTGGAGTTCCAGATGCAGATTCCAGCTGCAGCTTTTATAACTAACTTCACCATGTAGGTGACACACTGGTCAGAGAGAGATTCCTGTGTGGGTGGTCAGAGTAGGCCTACGATGAGGTGAGGGGCCACAGCCTCTGACTGTAGGAATTTATACACCATTAGGAATATGGATCCTTATATGTAGATGAGAAGGTTACTGCTTGCCTTCCTTCCTTCCTTCCTTCCTTCCTTCCTTCCTTCCTTCCTTCCTTCCTTCCTTCCTTCCTTCCCTTTTCTTCATTTTTTGGTTTCCATTCTCTTTTTTTGTTTAATTTTTACGTATTTGGTACAGGGTCTTTCTTCATGGCTCGGACTCCAAGTGATCCTCCTATTTTCAGCCTCTCCAGTGCTGGGATTATAGGCATGAGCCACCACATCTGGTTTCAGTGGCTAGCTTGGCACCTGGGGTGGGGCCAGAATAGCATGTGGTACCAGAGATCGAACCCTGGTCCCTGTGCTTGACAGGAAGATACTTAGACTGTTGCGCTATCTCCATGGCCCTCCATTCTCTTTTGTTCTGTTGCCCCAGTCTTCCCTCCTAACTTTCCTTTTTCTCTTCCCCCATCCTGGTCCAGTCTAGGCCAGGTCCTCTTCAAGAGGATTGGTATACTTCTATTTTAAAAAGTTGCTTTGTTCCAGAGACTCCAGTTTCATTGCCTGGCTAATGAATTAATAAATTAACAAAAGAGATGATTTTAAATAGTAGTAAATGTTACAGTATAAAGTTGACAGATTTGATCTAGAGGAGTTTTCATAGTTGGGGAAACCAAGGAGGTGACTTGGATCATGGGTGAGGGGGTACCTAAACAAATAGCATGAAACCCTTGATATACTAGGTTGAATATATTTCTTCTTTTTGGCGTCCAAGAGATCTAGATATACAAAACAGGGCAGGTGTTTGGGTTTAGGTTTTGGTGTGGGCAAGATTCAAGTTGAAGAACCCATGGAAGTTTGAGCAGATTTTGTGATTTTTCTGCTGGAAAATCATAGACGCTCCTGCCTGGGTCTTGCCATCTGGACCTGTTGAAAACTGCCCTAGGGTGAAATCAGTGATTCAAGGCTGGCGCCCTAATCTGGAATGCATTCTTTCTGCATATCCAAGAGGCAAATAAAAATATTTTCTTGGGTTACCATAGTTTTGAGCTCCATGTTTGAATTTGCCTTGGAACTGCTTGCTGCTGACACAGCTGTCTCTTGGGTTTCAGGCTTATTGGAGACAAGGTGTATCAGGGTGAGATTACAGAAAGAGGAAAGAAGAATGGAGATAGGGTAAAGGAGAGAAGGAACAGAACCACAGAAGACAATGGGTAAGCGTTGTTTAAGGAATTAAAGTCTAGTGAAGCAGAGTGTTATACTTTCTACCCCGCTGCCTACTCCTTTTTCATTCCCTCCCAATAGTTTTATTTTTATTTTTGATTGAAATAATAAATATATCTGATTAACAATATAGTAGATAAATACAACAAAGAGAAAATTTTACTAATCCTGTTGCTTGGCTTTTCCTAGCAACACTTAATTCTAATATTTCTAGAGTTTTCTTTGTAATTATCTAACTCTATTTAGTATAATACTGCTTTTTCTTGGTTTCTTGATAAGATTAAGATATTATCTGTTGACTCTTTTTTGTGATGGAAGAAGATTTAGTAAATTTATAATAATTCCGTCTCTGCATTCTAAATTTTTATATTATTTTATTTCTTCTTCCATTAGTAAAGTGTTTAGATTATTTTGATTAGCTCTATTTTCTTAAGTGATAGTAGTCTACCTTTCACTTTGACTCTATTTCCTGTGTCTCTATAATGTAATTATTTGTGTTTACATTGTCAGAGTGATTAACATTTAAATTCTAGTCTCTAAGGATCCTTGCAATCTTTGTCTCTACCCTGAATTTGAACATTTAAAAATCAATAAATAGTATTTTCTTTTTAATGACTATATAAATCACATTAAGTGCAGAGTCATCTGGTACACCACCAAGTCCCAGCCCGACACGAAGGTCTCCATTCTCTTTGCACAAAAGTGGCCTAAACAGAGTGGTGTGAACTTATACACCTGATTTTGTTCTTTAATAGAGGGCAGTGCTTCAAGCTAGCTCTCTAAAATCATAAACCATCAAAAATCTGCTGTTGGATCTTGTCAATGAGAATGCAACATGTCACCCTCTCCTGGAAGATTGGAGATGTGGGTTTGCTTTGATACAGAAAAGCAACGAAGTTCTTGGAGTCAGATAAGAGATTTTCAGACACAGCATTCCACATTTGTCTTAGTGCTACAGTTGCCAAGGACAGAGAGGCCTCCTTTCCTCAAGGTACAGGCCTGCATTCATGGCCTCACATACAGCTCTGCTTTGCTTGATCCTGTCCAAGCACAACCTCCTGAACTTTTGCTTCGCCTACACTCCGCCCTTCCCCCAGCCCTGTAAGAACCCTGTCTCTTCCTTTGTTTGGCAAGGTGCCGTCCAGTGCCTCTAGTATGTGGTCTCTTTTGCTGCAGCAAATCATTAAAACCTCACTTTGTTGAATGACAGCTTTGTGCCAGATTGTCTGCATTGAAATCGTTCAGAATCATGCCACTGCTCAGCTGAGTTTTGCCATAATGTGTTTATCAGTCACTTCTGTTTCATTCATTCTGTCTGATGCACAGTGTAACTTTTCCATCTTAATATCGGTACCTCTCTTTTGGTTCCTGGAAAGAGGGGTACAGGAAACCTGTCAGCTCAGGCATGCACTGGGGCGCCGGCTTGGAAGGATCTCTCTCAGTACCCTGTCTCACTCCTATCCATGGAGTCCTCCTACTCTCCCAGTCTGCAATTTCTCGGAGATTCTTCCAGCAGTTTCTTCCAGCATGTTCTGAGCTAAAGTGTTCTTTCTCTGTGCAGTCTGAGTCTCTGAAACTTTCTGAGCTGCCTTAGTCCTAAGGTTGCTCCTACCACCCATCATCTCTGGTGGTCAGTCTGCCATCTGGCCCCAGAGAACTCCAAGTAGTGAAAGCGTTGGGGATAATTGGCATTTTTGTGTTACTTCCTCTTTAAACACATCTGCTAAATTTTTACCTACGTGCAAACACATAACCACATATTACTTAACATATACAATGTCAGAATGCATTGACCATCCCTACAGAGGGCTGAATGCAGTGCACGACTGGACTCCAAACTCTCTCCCAACAGTCCTCCTGCTATCGCCTGTTTCCAGAAGTCTGTCTTGGGGCTAGGCTGGAAGGGGTCTTAGGCTTTGAATTCTCTCCTGCTAAGCATCCTTCAGTACTCCTCCTCTAGTCCTGGTCTGTGCTTCTTCCAAAACTAACTTATTTCCAGTTCTAAGGATGCACCCCACCTTGCTCACAGGTCTTCCTGCAAGTGATATACGGCAGGTTCCCGCACCCCTCCCCGCTCCCCCCCCCCCGCCTCCCCAACCCGGCTTTCCTTACTCCAGCCCTACCTGTTGCCCCTTTTGCCTCCCTGCCAGTGATGAGGGCGCCGACACATTCAGAGCCTCTCTAGTGATTCCCAGCAAGGACAAGGCCGCCTTCGTGCTGAGTTACGAGGAGCTTCTGCAGAGGCGCCTCGGCAAGTACGAGCACACGGTCAGCGTGCGGCCGCAGCAGTTGGTGGGGAGGCTGGCAGTGGAGGTGACCGTCCTGGAGCGCTCAGGCATCGCCGCCCTGGAGGTGCTGCCGCTGCACAACAGCAGGCAGAGGGGTGGCGCGCGCGCAGAAGGTAGGTCCTATCCTGGCCGGGGGCCCTGGCTGCGGACCAGCAGCATCCTTACACGAAGGCTTTGAGTTCTTATGGAAACTGGAAAGACAGCAACGAAGCAAATAGCGTCCTGCACAATCTTATTTTTAAAGATCTGGGTCTGTCAGGAGATTGAGAGTGTTTTGAAGTTGAGACAGAAATCCCACTCTGGGGAAGCTTTTGAGGCAAAGTATTTAAATATCGTGGATGTTATAAACATGAACCTACCTGATTGGATTTGTAGTACATAGCAAAAACATTCCATCAGCTTAAATGGTCAACAACATGGAAGGCATTAGTGAAATACACTGATTAAAAACAATTTGGCATGTAAGGAGAAAAAACATAAAATTGTGCATACACTATAATGTCAAATATGCTAAGTATATTAAATACAAAGGTTGGTCAAAGATAAAAAATTTTATGATAAAAGATAAAAAATGGTAAAAGATAAAAAATTATATCAAATTATATGAAATAGTTTTATTATGGGCATGGATGAATTATAGGGTTGTTTTCTAAAACATTGATTTTTAGCATTCAACAATGTTATAGTCTTATATTGTGTTTAAGGGAGCTGGGTATTGAACTCAGGGTCTTGTGCATGCTAGGCAACTACTCTACTATTGAGCTGTGCCCTCAGCCCCTTTTTCTTAAATTAAAAAATGAAATATATGTACTTTAGTTTTGATTTAAGATACAGACATTTGGGTTCATTCGCAAAATTACCAAGTTTAGGTTTTTCTCAAATTCTGATTTTTATTTTTATTTTTTTATTTTTTTTTCATTTTTTTCAAATTTAATTATTATCATCTCAAGTATATCATCCATTGATTTTATTTTTTTTCTTTTCAAAGTTTTATTGATAAACATATAGCAATGAGACAGTTTCAAATCAAATC